GAAATTGTGGTATCTCTGTTCTACAACAATTATTCCACTTCAAAATTGCTGCATTTTCCTTCAGTATTTAGACAACATCTTGACAACTGTCACACTCATCTAGTTTTTATATATGAATAAGCGTTAAATTGAATTTGGAGGAAAAAAGCAACTTTTGAAAAGGAAATTGTTTTAATGACTACTTCGTGTTTTCATATTACATAGTTGGAAAAGCTTCTTCCTTGATGAGGTAACATTTGATATCTTAAGTCATAATGACATTTTTTTTTTATTTTCTCAAATGATAATTACTGTTGCCCATTTTCTTGTAAATTTTTTTATCACTTCTTCCCTTAAACTAAAAGATAAGTGCGAAATAGTAATTTTGGGGATTAATAAAATTTATCAAAGGAAAACTGTTAAGTTTATTCTTACACAACGCAGAAAAAAAATTCTGATAAAATTACAATATGCATGGTAATGACATTTCTAGTTAAAAAGAAACATAATTCTGGTTAAAACGGCATTTAAGTCATTCGTTAAGTAATTTTTCATACATAACTCTGGTTGTTAAAACCAAAATATGTGGTACCTAAGCAATTCATTTTATTATTTTTCCGTTTATATGGTAAATGTATATATGAATTTCTGGTTTTCAAAATTATAGCTCTTATTACCTCACATTTAGTAAAACATGCAAAACTTAAAATTAAATTGGACCAAAAAAATAGTTTTATTCCATGCTCTAAAGTATGTTAAATTACTAAATTTTACCACATTTATCAAATTTTATCACATGCTATAAAACTATATTTTATTGTTAATTTTACCCAACTCGTTATCAAAGCTATTTGGTCAAAATTACTGAGCTTTTAAGTGTTTTCGTAGAATCAGAAACGCTTTAAATTTTAATAAAAGCAGTAATAAAAACATAAATAATAAAAATTTAAATAATAAAAACATAAATAATAAAAACATAAATTCAATATTTTGACCATACTTTTTTTCTCAGTGCACCGATTTATTTTGAAACAATCGAACCCATAAATACAATTATCGATTACTCCATTTCTTATTTTTTTATCCCGTTACATATCCAACTATCAAAAATATCTTTATTTTAGATATTTTAGAACAAAATATAAATATTTATAAAAATATTTCAGAATTCGAGATATCTGAAAAATCTTTAGGTGAACAAAAAAAAGTTCTAGTTCTAATATTAAGTAGTAATATTAAAAAATTTACTAAAATATTTCTTTGGAAACTTTTAGCTATCTTACTTCCCTGAAACTTCGGTACTTTTTAAAGCAAGCTTAAACAGGGTATTTCAAAACGTTTAATTAGGGTTTTAAATTAAAAAGAACCAGGAAAGAAGGCTCCCAACCCAACAATCGTTAATAATCGCTAGAAAATAATAGCTCAGAAAAAATAACTTGAAAAGCAATTCATACAAAAGTTATAAAACTCAAAAAAATTAATAAAATAAATCTTTTTGATATTGTTGTTATAATTATTACATTTAATTCACCAAAAAATAAATGTAGCACTAGGTTTTATAAAACCATAGGTGTTTTCTTCTTAATTTAAATATCAATTATTTTAAAACAAATACTCACCTTAGAGATATTTTTATCATAACTGTTTTTTTCTCTCAGAACTGTAAAATCGAACTGTTTATTTAGTGTTTCGTTTCCAAACAGAAGTATTTAAAACATTTTTCAGGTAGATTAAATATTTTATTGTAAAATGGCAATAATAACCATTGACAATAAAACCATTGTTCATACAATTAAGAAACTATTAGCGGAGTAAAAAATCATAAACCATTAAAAAGTAAGCTTTTTTTCTGTATCCCCTTAAATTTACAGCTTTTAAATAAAAGGGAACCTGGCACTTCAAATGGTATTTTCTTTTGAATCGAGCACTTTTTTAATGCTATCCGGGGAAAAATATTGCATTTAAACTAAATTTTAAACTTAAATGAAGGTATTGTAGTTACGAGCCTAAAAGGTTTTTTTAATGCTACAGCTCCAAGAAAATGACAATAACATTACAAATTAGAATATATAAAGGATTAAATAAAATTAAGTAAGAATCAATATTGAAAACGTGATTTACAATAAAAGGTTTTTTTTAATACTACAGCTCCAAGAGAATGACAATAACATTACAAATTAGAATAAATAAGGGATTAAATAAAATTAAGTAAGAATCATTATTGAAAACGCGATTTGCAACTCATCAATATAAAGAAATTAATTGCACTTAAGAAATAAATTATTTAGTGATGTTTACCTCAAGTGATTTTATTTTTATATTTGCCCCTAAAATTCCTGTTTAGAATAACATTCTGAAATAAGTTTAGTAAAAAGTCAAGTCCTAAATTGCATAAATCGAATGCATATTCATAATGTTTACTCAATTTTATAAAGGATGTTTGATATTTGGTTTTGCTTGTAGCTATAGATCTGTAGTTACACGCTACTTACACACTCTTACATGCTATTCACGTGTTCTTATACAATACTTTACAAAATGAAGAAATTTAAGTAATCGCGAAACGTAATATCTTAAAGTGATTTTTGTTAATTAAGTTTCTTAGCTGACCTATACGCCTACCTCTAGTAATGAACGAAAATCAGCCGGACACATATCCCTAGTACTATGCGAAAATCAGTTAGATTTTTGGTTTCGTTTTCGAAAAACACAAATAAAGCATCAATCCATTCATGTTATTATTATAAAAGCATTACCAGTATATTGATTTTATCAACGATTTTTAAATGGTAGATTGTTTAAAAAAATATTAATCCCTGAGACTTTTGATTTAAAAAAAATAGTCTGTACTGTGCACATAATTTTTTTTAAAAAAATACGATTTCCTTATTTTTTTGCTAAAATAAAAACAAAAATAGTAAGAACAACAGCATCGAAACTTCATGCAAAATTTGTTTAACTGTTAATGATGTAAAATTATTTTTCTTGGTGTTTATTTATTTTTACTTAATATTTTCCTTTTAATTTAGTTACTTTTTGACAACTAATTTAAGTATTTTCTCTGTAAGTAGACGTTTCTTTACTTACTGATTAGGCACTAGAAACATACCATTGTAAATGTTAAAAATAATTATTTTTCCCATTTTAAAAGAATTTCATGTAAAGTGGCTGGCAAAATTATTCCGATCGTGCACATAATACTTGGGGAAATAAATTTTACATCTGATTTTCTAAAAGCAATGATAGAAGATACTTAAAAGTAATACGAAAAAATGACTGTGGCTTACACTCATTGCTGAAAGTCTTTTTTATCAATAAACTTTAGTTTTAGCAGTTATTTCTGATTGTTGTTTACATCTATAAATTAGTTATAGAAAGTAGAGAAAATATTTTATTTATATATGTACTATATATGTTTATCGGTTAAAAAACCGTGAATACGTATCTAAACAGTTTTGTAACCATTTACAACTAGTATTTCTGAATCATAAAGTGAAATGGGCATCGAAGATCTGTCGGTACTGTGCCATTGATATAGTTTTGTATTCTAGTGGATTATGATCACCGATTGAAAAGTGTGGAATACTATAAACTCTTCATGCATCGAAAGAATGAAATAAATATTGAAGAATCGACACTGGGATTCGAACCCCTGTTCAGAAGGCCATAAGATCGGCCAATTAGTTCTCTCAGGTACAGTATATTCCCAACTTCACGGAGCAAAATAGCTTCAGTAGAGGTTACCGTGGATAGAATTCTGGTTGCTTAACCAAATTAAGAAAAAACAATGAATAAAGTTTTTTTTCACACTTAACAGTTTGCATATCATCTTTTTATTGTTATTTGACTGTTTGGGTTGTGTATAGTAAAATAATAATTACATAAATTGCTATTTAACCATTTTTGCCGAAAAGTTTCTAACAGTATCCAATTATAATCAAGCATATCATGTAATACTAATTAGTACAATTATTACAAAAGTAGGAAGCTTATTAAATAATTTATTACTTAACAAGAAACAACTGAAATGCTTACCTGAAATGAAGGTTTGTGGGAGATTACAGGCTTACATCAGGTAATTTCAAGTATTTTATAAGTTAGAGAGAATGTTTTCACTTCAAGCTTCATTGGTTGTTTTGCATTCATTTCCTTTCTTAAGCAAGTTGCATCAGTCATATAAAAAAGAATAATTTCAACAAGTATTAGTTGTCTCAAAAATAATATTATATCGCTTTTGTTTTTATTTCTTAACAAAATAACTTTCTATTCTTCCAAACACCTTCAATTGAATGGTTAGTTTGCATTCGTTTGTTGTTTTTTTTAAATCGTTTGCATTTTTTTCTCAGCATATATAATATTCTCTCCTCCAATACATCTTCTTTAAAATAATTTGTTTATGTTATGTAATTTCCGTCTTTATTTCTAAAATAAATGTTTACTTCTTCTAAAGTCCTCAGTCGAATTGCTTACAACCACAGTTTAAGGACCGGATAAATTCGTAATTTGCTTTTATAACGATTTTTTTAAGTTTATTTCTTTAAAAATTAACGAATGACTAAATCGAACATTTCTTTCAATAATTTGAATAAATAATTAGTTTTCTTTACCCCTTTCCTCAAAGGAATTACTACTTGCATATGCAAAACCTCTTTTCAGATTGCTTTTTTCATTCCTTTTGGCAACGGAAGGAACAACGTATCGCTACTTGTTACACCAAACGATTTTTTGAGATGAAAATGAATATACGCGGAAGAACTATTCTTCGGAGAAGAAAAAACTGATATTGATTGTCGATACCAAAAAAATTGAATAGCCTCGACTATTTTCGGCACTCAAAGTGGTCGAGATGTCGAAAAATTTCTAATTATTAAAAAAGAAGGCTTTTTTTCCGATCAGTCTAATTATATACCTAACTCATCAGGTTATGATACTTTTCGGAAAAAGGAAGTGCATCATTTAATTAAGTTTAAAGTATCTGAGTATATAAATAAAGTCAACACTGTTTATCCCTTTATTATATAAAAATTACTTGTCATTCAGAAGATATTAAACACTGCGGTAAGTATTTATCTTAGTTTTCTGATCTTAATGCACCAAAATTGAAAACTAGATCAATACTAAGTCCAAATACCAATATTTATTAGACGTCTGCCCTTTGTCAAGTATTTTTTATTACTATGTTTTAAAACAAAATGGCTTAAGGTTCAAACGCAAACTAATTTTCGGATTAAAGTTTCTGTTCTAAGATTTTCGATTCCGAAAAACTAAATTCAAACTTTTTACGCTTAATATATGAAGTGCCGATATTAATTCAAAATCATTAGTCGTAATACTATTTATAATACAAAAAATTGCCAAAAATTTACTAATAAACAATAACTTGAATTCTAAAACTGCGATACAATTCCAAATCTTTCCGAGGCTTTTCTTTATATTTTTTACGCATATAAGTACTGTTATTTTAACAAACAAACAAAAAAAACTCTGGAATAACTATGGCAGTATTGTGGTCGGTGCGAACTGAGAGCAGCATTAGTACGACCAGTCAACGCTGAATACGAACCTATGACTGGGAGGTGAACGTTCTATTCCTTGAGCTAAACAGCTCTATTGTCTCAGTATAGAGAAAAATCTCGTGCTACTTTAATCTTAAAAGTTTTATCTTATAAAATAATATTTGAATGTAAAAGCGTTTAAAAAAAATAGTACACCCATACGTAAACGTTTGACAAGTTAACTTACGACAATATATCTGAAGAAAGATAATTAATTGTCAGGTAGAGTATTAATTTGACAATGTAATCAAAAAGCAGTTTCATTTATACTATTTTTAAAACAATGAAATATCTGCTAAAAAATAAGAGCATGTATAGAATATATTTGCGGAATGATTTTTTTTAAAAAAAATAAAAGGTAGAATTATCATACAGCAAGCAAAACTGCGGGACAAAAACTATAATTTAAACTAATGGTTTCATTATGATGAAAATCATTGCAAAACAGTTTCGTTAACAAAAGAGCTTTAAACTGTCAAATATACAGAGATAGTCTTACAAAAGAACTGGGATTTTTTTGCAATGTAGACAAAACCACTTAAACTATAATATGAAAAACGATGAGAATAAAAGAAAACGAAAATGAAATGATGGAACTTGTGTAAGACACAGGAATAGAGAATTACAATTTTTTCAACAGTCAAATGAGTTTCATAAATGCTTTGTAAGAATAAGGGACTGAGCTCCCTGTTTGCTGAAGCTCACCAAACTCGATGACTGCTTCGCTATAAATGCTATTTGGCATAAAAGAGTTTTTTCCACGAAAGTTAAAACTATTCATTTGAAATATATGTACTGAAAAGAATTCTATAATTGATTAAAAGCTTCTTTCGCTTCAAAAATTGTATCATCTTCATATTTTCGAACAAATGTAGCTTTTAATCAAATATATATTTCCACTTCTGTTGTTGGGATAATTTATTGACTGTAGGAATTCTATTTGCTTGCTTTCGTACCCTTACTTTCCACTTCCAAACATTTCCCTTATTACTGTAGTAAGGACATTAAAATAACATTGAAAATTAGAAATATGACAATTTGGCGAGTTCATAATCAGAAATTTAATATATTCGACTCTTATTCAAATTTCATGTACTTCGAACAGGCTGATATATTAAATACAATTTGTCGATGCGTCACATTATGCATAAAGCTTATTGTTAAGTTCTTAATCATCTAAGAAGTCTCTTCGACACCAATTAATAATAATACATTACTATAATTTGCACCAAAAAATTAATATAAAACTGTTAATAAGTTTGGAAACCGATTTAAATAAGTTTCCTTAAAATATCGCGTAATAATAAGGTAATATGATAGAATAGCGTTTTAATAAAAAAAAGGAACTCCTTTAGTTTTGAACTCTTAATTCAGGGAGAAATCAAAATCAAAAACGTAATAATAACAGAGTAAATAATAACAGAGTAAGCAGAGAAAAATAAATATTACAGCTAAAATACCTTAAAATTTGGAATGTAAAAATATAATAAATTGAAAACGATACATTTTTGACTAATATTAATTTTATCCCGACGAACGCAAAAAATTCATTTAATGAAAATTAATCTGGTAAAACTGAATTCAATCATGTGTCCAATAAAAATACACCAACCGCAATGGAAAACCATTTTTACCATTATGTTTTTATGATACATAGAGAAATTGTAGCATCTTATTTTCCATGCAAACCTAATCAAACTGTAAAAAAAAAAAAAAAAAATGCTTTTCTATTAAAGAATTTTATTATATTCTAATAATTTTTTTTCCTTTTTTTTGCATTAAAAACTTTTTATAAGACATCAAAACTCTTCCGTCATGCAACAATAAAAAAATTTTAAATAATTATTCAAAAATGATTGCCAGCTATTTTTAATCATTAGTAAACAGATAAAATTAAACGCTCACGCTAAATTGATAGAACAGTGATTTTCACCTACAATAATATTCCCGATATGCAGGTTATATTTTTATAAAGTTTGAAAATAAAGCTTTCAACTCCTGTTATTTAAAAATAATTAAAGTGTTATGGTTGTATTATTAAAACATTACCCAAAATTTAAAAATAATCAAGAATGTATCTGCAAATAACTGTTTAAGGAGTGCAGAACATTCTTATTTTTTTTTCCTTGATTTATTATTTTTCTATAATTCTTGTAATAGTATAAGCCATATTTTTTTTAAAAATTGAGTATTGTGTCATTTAAGGGAAATTAATAATGTTTGAAATTCTTAAATTTAAATTATCTTTAAAGCATTAAATTAAATTGTAATCACTGAAATATATTTGATAGGTAAAAAATAAGATACATGTACAAAGAGAATTTTTTCTATGCTCTTGCCAACCAGGATCATCCCATGAAATTAAAACAAAATAAATTGAAAATATGTGAAAAATTTTGAAAGCTAATTTATTTTTATTTTTAAATACAAGAACAACAGAAAAATACTTCCGAATTCTGGCTTTACGATCTTCAGTTCAGGAAGAACAAATAAGGGATAAAAATCCTTGAAGCGAATCACCCTAAATAAGAAAGAATTCTGAGCTAAATGATTAAAAAAACATTTAAGGGAATTCCGGCCCTCTGAATCACATGACTGGCAAGAATAAACACAAAGCATTTCAAATTGACTTTTTTATCAAATATGAAGTAGACTTGTGCTGAATGATATCGGAGCTTATACAATATATTTTTTGTTATATTTGTAATATTTTTAAATTTTAAAAGAAATTTTAATTGATTTTGCATAATCAGCATTTTTCAACCGAAACTGAATTTAAAAAAACTCACTATAATATCGTAACCAACAGTTGTCGTAATGGATAGTATTAACGATATTTTCGTAAATAAATTAAATTACGTTTAACCAAAATTAAATTAATTAACACTTACTATAATATCGTATCCAACTATTATCGCAATTGATAGTATTAATGATATTATCGTAAATAAATTAAAATGTGTTTAACAAAAATTTAATTAATAGACACTTACTATAATATCGTATCCAACAATTATCGTAATGGATAGTATTAATGATATTATCGTAAATAAATTAAATCATGTTAAACCAAAATTAAATTAATAAACACTCACTATCATATCGTATAAAAAAATTTAATTATTGTCTGTACACATAATCAAAATTGCTTTAACCACAATTAAAGAAACATTCTTTATAATATCGTATCCAACAATTATCGTAATGGATAAAATTAATGATATTATCGCAAGTAAATTAAATTATTGTCTATAATTGTCGCTTAATCGCTATTAATTGAAAGACATGGTATTCACCACAAATATTTTTTCTATATTTTTTTAAATATCACTATATTAGAACATATTAATGCATCGAGCGATTTATTTATTAAAAACTTTGCATTAGTGATGACCTACATTTTATATTTCTTTGCAATTTCTCAGTTAGCATCTGAAAGTAATACATACCATCATGTTAAATTCTCCACAGTGTGTAGTTTTAATAGGAAAATACTTTAAGAAAAACAAAGTTAATTTCAATTCGAAAAGTGAATTTCCTTTAAGTTAAATATTGAAAGAATAAAAAATCAAATAAAACAAATTTTCCTCAATTCAGAAACTTGTAATAATTTAATTTGACTCATTTTCGAGTTCACTAATAATGAATACAAAACATTAGTTACAATTACATAATAAAGAAGCCCGTTATTGCTTTTAAAGAATTCCGAAAAACACAAATCCTTTTTCAGTGCTTATCAGTGTAGTGATATTTCTTCACATTTCTGCCGATATTAAAATATTGTTCAACAACATTTTTAGATGAACCTTTATGAACCTTAAGGAATGTAAATAAAATCAGTAGAAATAAGAGCCAATACTTAATTTTCAAACCACATATTAAACATTACGCTGCATATCTGAATTTAATGCTTACAAAAAATTAATAATCATGATTATAGATTTGATGTTTCTGGATAATAACCACTGCTATAATGTTTGTTCTGTATGTTTTTACTCGAATTTTTAATTAAAAAAGGGGACAAAATTTGAATACTACTAAGCTTAATTTTATAGTAACAGTTTTACTATAGTTAGTATAAAATTATACGTGAATGTCAAATATATCAAAAACGCTTAAATTTTTTGAAAGACAATAATCAGAGTTTTCCATATCAAAAATTAATTCAACATCACACTATAAATAAATTCCTGTTTAAATCATAGAAAAAAGTATCTGCACTAAGGATGCTATGATTATTACCGTAAAATCTATTTTTAATCTACAATTTGCTGTGCACTGAGAGTTCCAGTAGTTTTTACCGTAACCGTAGTTCGATCCGGAATTTCTAACAATACAGTAAACGTATCCATGCGCAAGTTGCACTAACTATACTCAGAGGAGGAAGTTTACGATGTGAATTTTTTCTTTCAAGAATAGAAATTTTGAATTTGTTTTTAACTTTATTTTTTCAGTCATAATAAGCATCCTAATATATGAATATGCATATTGCCCAAAATTTACTTCCATGTTTATCAGGAAACCTTTTCAATCAAACAAATAAATTTTTAATGGAACTATCATTTATTCAAATGCTGCTGTTCATAAAACAAACTATCTGATTACTATGATTGGTGCAAGTTTAGTATGAATAAAATAATTCTAAATAAAATTTATTGAAATAAAATTTATTGAATTTCCTAATAGTTGAACAGTTTTTAAATAAACGAAAATAATTCAAGGTTTTCGGATTAATTTGCCCCTCCCCCTTTGAATGTATGGTTGCAGTCTGACTAATGATTGCACTACAAAAATAATTTTATTTAACATTTTTGTTTTGCATTTCTACTGAATTATTGCGCTATTCATTATAGATTTTGTTTTCAATAAGGAAAATTCGAAATTAAACCACATTTTTACTTGACCCATGTAAAATTCCATACATGGCTGTATTCAATTGATATTGTTAAAAACAAATTTTAACAATGTAATAAAAATGATTTCGAAATTTTAAGTTGTTATCTAAGGTTTCAAAAATGATAAGTCAAATAATACTTTTGTAAGATTGATACAAAATATATTAAAAGAAAACAATTGTCCATCTGCCTTCAAAGTATAATTTTTTTTTCTTTAATGAAAGTTAAGAGAAATTTTAGCCAATCGTATACTTGCTCAAAAATTTTATTTAGTATATTTAGCACATTTAGGTTTTTACATTTATCCACAAAAATATGTAAGAAATTTTAAATACAGATGCTTGTTGAATTCACAAAATCGTTGAATTTATACGAGTATTTTAAAATCCATGAAGTAAAGTTATTATTAAATCTTTATCTGAAATCACTAAGAATTTAATTATTTCCCCCACCACCCTTTGATTTAAAAAGATAATTCTATAAACAAAAAAACTCAAAAATGGACTTTGCCTGAAAAATTTGGAGAAGTTTTTATTTTCTGCACATTGTTTTGGGGTGCTAAAAACTAATCGACATTTTGCGACAAGCGTTTTTCTGGAAAATTTGTTTTGTTTTTTTGTATTATCCAAAAAAATCAGGAAAAATCCTTTTTTTAAGATAAAAAATTTCTGATGGCATAGTGGAAAGACAGGCAAAATTTTTGATGGCATATTTGAAAATTGGAGAAAATTTACCACAAGTTCTGCATCGAGAAAAAAGAAGTATGGTCGAAGCTACCTGAATGTGTAAAAATTTACCGTGTTTCTGGCTCCATAGAAACAAAAGAAGGTCGCTAATTTTTACCATAGCGATTCAGTGATGATCATGGTATAATTGAATTTAAAACAAACTTTAAAAATATGCTTTAAAATTTCATAAATGTTGTTAAATCTGGTACCTTTATGATAATACCTAGATACCTATACATGATACTTATAGATGATACCTATACATGATTCCTATAAGAGTATGACATAAAAACCGGTTAATTTACTTTTCATTTTTATGTTTTTCATTATATGTGTGGTAATAAGAACTCTAATTTCAAAAAGTCCGGAAAGTCCGGACATGAATAGGAAAATTACCAATTGAACGGTTTAATTGCCATGAATTTTAGATTTATTAACCAGAATTATGTTTTCTTTATCGGAATTGTCATTACCATATAGTACATTAATTTTAACCAGGATTTTTTTCTTCGTTTATACTTACAATTTGTCCGTAAGGTAAAAAGTTGAAGAATTATGATTATGGGGATACTGGCTATAACATTAGACCAACGGCTAGGGATAGAAAACAAGTTTGAGTAATGGAAGTTTGAAATTCATAAAACGTTCTCTTGTGTGATCTAATAATGTATAAAAAAATATTATTTTACTATTAGAATATAAATTACGAATGTTATACAGTTATAAACAAACAAGCAAATGTAATTACAGTTATAAACAAACATTTTCATCGGAACAAATATATATTAGACTAGATTGATTAAGCTTGTATATAGCATGGAAACAGTGTAATACATGATATCATTTAGTGTCTTAGTAAGTATATAAATAAGTCCCTAAATCAATGGTTTATGCAATGTCTTAAATCAATAACTTTTTTTTAAAGTAATCAAAAATTAATGTGTAAGAACATATATCTGCTGAATGTAAAATATTTATTCTTTCGGATTAGAATCTGGATTTAATCAAATCATATTAGTACCTGCAATTTTAGATTCCTAAAAAGTAAATGTTAACTCTTCAAATTAATTTCATATCACATTTCCTTCATTGTTGTTATTATTTGTCTGAATATATGCGTTGAGCAAAATAATAATAGTAAAACTTTTTATTTTTCATGTCTAACATTCACTTCTGTTTAGTTCGAAAAGATGATATCCAGTCAAAAGCTATTAATCTTAAGTCTCTTTGCTCTTATTTCGACATCTGGAGTTTTCAGCCATCATCACCATCAGCAGCAAGGAGGAGGATTAGGGGAAATTCTTGTAGCTGGTTTAATTGCAAAAATGTTGTCTGAGCATCATCACAAAGGACATCACCATTCACACCCAATCTTTATCCCGATGCCTGTGCATGGTCATCATAAATGATAATGGAGCTTCTTCAATTCATGAGCTATTCATGAACCAATTCATGTTACAAATAAGTGTTGTTTTTATATGTGTGTGCATAGATCATTTGGATGCTATTATGTACAGAGCTTTGTATAAATAGTTGCAAAATAATATGTATAATAATGTTATAAAGTCAGAAATATTATATAATGTCAGTAATTCAATAAAGATGTATTTGGCATATTACTTTGTTTTGATTTATAGGTAATTTTCACGCAGAAAGACATGCATAATTATTTATTTATTATATGCAGGGATTAAATTGAAGAAGTTCAATGTTTTGCCTCTCGGAAATATTTTAAAACATAAATTATGATAAGTTTAAAGAAATTTTGAAAATTTTTGAATTTTTTCTTGTGATGTACCGTTTTTAATTCTTATTTCATTATTTAAATATTCACTGATAGCTATTTATTAAATAGCATACTTCTGTTGAAAAAAATGTTTTTATATGGTCAACTACATCATTACTTTTTGTTTGATTGAAGCACTATAATTTGTAAGGTATACGTTTTGTTTTATAAAAAATCGAAACTGTAGGAAAATGGAAATTAATTCATTAGTTGTATTTAATATTATAAATGCAAAATGAATATCGGCTATTAAAATAAATAAAAGGAATGGTTTTTTTACTTTAAAAAAATGTACATCGACTACAAAAGTAGCTTGTTTAAATCATAATATGATTTAGTTAATGAAATAAACAATAGATAAAAGGACATCTTAAAAGAAATAATTATGTTTTACATGGTATTTTGATTTTAAATATATTCTCATGGTTTTCTTTATTCTAAAAATATTCTCCATTGTCTTAATTAATCAAAAGAGTATTCAAATATGCAAACAAAAAAAGCAAACAAAAGAAAAATAATGATTGATATTTTAATAACTTATTCACGTTTACAATTTATAAAATAATTAGTACTTAAAAATATATAAATCAAACTGTTTTCTTGCTAATTAAATATTAAGGAAATTTCTTTAATATTTAATCTTTTCTTCCGGCATGTATTCATACAAAGATTTTTCTCGTCAAAATTACATGAAATTAAATTTTATATATTTTTAAATTGTCTATTAAATTGTTCAATAATTTGTGCAAATAATCGCAATTAATCTGTCAACTAATTAATTGAAAAAACACTTCCTTTTTTTAATAAAAAAATATGCTGAAATATATTTTAAAATTGTTTCGGAAATATTTTTGTCCAAAGTATTAAGCATTAAATTTTTCAAGATTATATTTATTTCCTAACCCCTTTCATGCATATATTTTCAAATAATAAAGCGACTTTGTCTCTCAGAATAAATTACATCAAAAAAAATTTATATAACACTGGCAGAAAAATATAATTCTACATATTTAAGAAATATAGTTAATAAATATATGGTATAAAAATATAGTTAATAAATATAGGGTATAAAAATATAGTTAATAAATATAGGGTGTCCATGGAGATAACTAAGGTTAATAGAGTAATGCTGTTTTTTGCCATTTATGATTTATAATATATTATTACGTATGAACTTCAAACTCAGGATTTTGTTAATCATAATCAGTTTTTAATAAAAAAAAATAATTATTACACAATATTACAGTTAAATTCATGAACTTTTTACGATGACAAAACTATATGTGTCATTGCCTAAGTGAAAAACCTTCTCCAGTGTTTTCAACCCTGCCCAATATTTTTAAGACCAATTGCGATCAGCGATCAGCCCATGCCTTTAGCTTAGTTAGGAAGCATGAAAAATTGCTCAATTAGGCTAAAGTTTCTCAAACTTATAGTAATAAATCTATAGTAAAGCTATTTGTAATAAGACCTTTCAGATCGAAGGCCTTATGGCCATGTTCTTGAAATACATCAAGCTAATTGAGCAGTGAATAGAATATTTTCTTATTAGTCAAATGATATGTTGACTCACTGGAAAAAGGCTGAAAAATATCAGGCTGATTTAAGAAATAACGGAGATTTTTTTTTACTTAGCCTGGTGCGTTGAAAAATGACAAGAGACTGCTTGAAAAGAGTCCGGTTATTAAATTAATGTGCAACAGAAAGAAGCAGTGTTCCCCCTCTGTCTTTGAAAATTTAAACTTCAAACTACAACAAATTTCTTCATGAAATCGCGAAAGTAATCTTGATTAATCGTATACAGATTCTCATAATTTAATAAATAGTGGGAATTACCCTATATATAACAAAATCACCATAGTAAACAAAGTCACATTACTTTAAAATAGTTATCCAGTTTCATTTAACGATATGATTCTGGTTACGCTGAGAAGTTTTGAGTTAAATTTTAGTTAACAAAAAATTTATCTGATTTAATCTGAATGAGAAAACTGACCATAGTTATCTGATCTGACTAATCTGTAAATTTAATTTGACTTAGTAATACTTTTTTTTACTAATCTAATTAGAAGTTGGCAATATTTCATAAAAATTGACTTAATAAAATATTTTGAGATGGAATGTTTCATTTTCTTGCATGAAGCATTTTTATACCCATTTTTAAATAAAAAAATGATTGCGTAGCACTATTTTTATACATTTATTTTATTAATAAACATCACTTAGAATTATTAATAAATTGCATATTTTTCTTTTTCATCAACGAAAATGTACGGCAATGAGATTAAATTTATGTTTAATTTTTAACATCAATATTAAATTTTGTTGAAATAAATAATAAAGATATTGATTTTACAATGAAAAATTGAAATTTTCTGAACGAAAGTTATTTTCTTTTATATACCTCTTGGTTTAGTTACTAAAATAAAAAACAGATGGCAGCACAATCTGAAATTAAAATCTATGAAGTTTAAAAATAATTTGTATAAGTTTTTATTATAATTGGTTTATTAATTTAGGATGAATATAAAAATACAAATAAAAGTATGAAAACTGTGATATTTTTATCTATTTAAACTCTCTTAATGTATTTAAACCCTAGCTAGATTTTGACTTCAAAACAATAAAAAATTCCCAAGTTTTTATTCTGAAAACTTTCATTTTCATTTTAAAATTTAGAATTAAACAAAAATATTAAAAAGTTAAAAAATTCATTCCATTCAGTTCCATTCCTTAAATATATCATCTACTATCTGTCACGTAAATAAATTTTTTGTGAAAAATTTTGCTTTTATGTATCAATGTTTTTTATTTTATTTTTTTAACTTAATAAGATATAATTTTTAACTAGTTAAACATGTTAAGTTTTTGAAAATAAGTTTGTATGTGATGAATTATAATTATTTATTAAAACCAAACCATTAGAAATTATGAAAATATTTTATTATTTGAAAAGTGAATACAGCAAACTATAGATCAAATAATCNAAATCTTGTTTCAGAGTAATGTTCTATAAAATTAAAACAATTTCTTTGATATTTGCACTTTACAATTGGCATAAAAAAATTTTTTTGAATAATTTGCTCGAAATTTTCTTTAAAAATTTCCTTCAAAAGTATAAAAAATTTTAAGATATCTCTTGAACACATGTCAATTTATAATTTAGCATAAAATTAAATAATACTTCTGTTTGAATGATATTTAACAGATAATTCTTACTTTACAGTTGTAATCCATAAACATAGTTTTTAGAAAAGTGTCTGCAACATTGCCATGCACCATTTTCGCCCTTGCAGCAATCATCATTCTGGGCACACCAGACACTTCCTCCGCATTGCTTCAGACCAAATTTAGCTCCAACAACAGGCCTCTCCTGTTGGGTATTATTCTTTTTGTTGCACCTTTGGTGGTCCAAATCACACTCGTAGCCGTGAGGACAGCAATGAACAAGATCTGAGCAACAAACACCCATAGGTAGTGGACAACATAGATCGAACAAGATTGTCGTGCCGCATAATTTCATGCCAGGTGGACACTTAGCATCCACTATGCCAACAATTAAGAAGCTGAATAGCATCAATGACAGTATTTTTTCCTTTAAAAAAAGAGAGAATTGGGTTCAAGCAAACGTCTTAGAATAATATTTTCACATGGGTTTTCAAAGCTCTTTTGAAAAGGAAAATAAAAAAACACACAGTTTAAATACCTGACGCTTGAAGAAAAATGCTATAATTCTAAACTATAAATGCCGTGAAAAATTATCGTGACTTGATGGAAGAATAACTTAAATAGTTTAAAAATTATTAACCTTTTTTAAAAAAATCACCAATTTAGAGAGATTTTTCCATCTAGATGAAAATTATCACAGCCTTATGATCGTTATGTTTTATTCTCTATTTAAAATCACTGCCTAATTCTCATTTTTTTGAAAATTTTTATGACCATTATAATGCAGCATTAGAGTAAGCTTTTAAATATTAAAAGATTAGACCGCAAATGCTTTTCATTTTGTCACAACTGTAGTTCTCTCTATATTGACGTTTTGCAGCATTTTCAGAATGAACTTAGAGGGTTAATAATAGGCTAAACTTGACCTAACAGTCGTGAGTAACTGTTGCAAACTCACAGCAGTTATGAAAATAGCATGTTATTTGCAATAATCATTTCATGAGACTACCAGGCCTTCGAGAAACATCCTTAAGTTCATAATCAATCAACATATAACTAAAACTAACATAATTAGGGACAGATTTGAATAATTTATACAATTGTTGAATTTGGTGCCCAAATTAGCATGTTTATCCTTTTAGGAAATTATTGGGAGGAATAATAAAAACAATTTTCCACTAGACATTTGAATTTGGTTATCGTCCCAATTAGAACTTATTTTGACTCATTAACTTATAGGTAAAAAATCTGTTCTAATTTAATGGTTAAGTAGTACTTTATTATAAAATTATAAACAGCTTAATTTCTTTTATGTAATGTATTTGATATTGATATAAAAAGGTAAAAATGCGTCCTAATAGCATAAATCAGTAAAAAAAATGTATCGCTTTTTATTATACGTCCTGATACATTTTGAAAAACTTTTGGATTCATTACAAAACGATAAAGGATTTTTAATACAGAAAATTTATTACTATATCATGATTTATTTCTTGGATTCCCCCTTCTCTGTGATAATAGGCCTTACTCCTCCTCTAACTTTAAATGATTCCAAAAACTAGATGTGATGTGGGAACAGTTGTGTGATCTCAAAACGTAGGTAATGTGTGATGCGTAAACTCTAAAACTAATACTTAAAGTTCATTTTTTAAAATAATGTTGAATAATTTTTTATTAATAATTTTATTTTTTAAAATAGTATTATAAAATAATATTTATACCATTAAATATTCTTAAAAAAATTTAGAATAAAATTCACCGAATGTTGCTATAAGTTTTAACCTTCTTATCTTGACTCTAATTAGTAAATTTTGTGTGATCTCTAAATGTATTATGTGTGCATGCTGTGATGTGTGATCTCTAAAAATGATACTTAAAGCTCCTCTTTTTTTCAATAATGCTGAATAATTTTTTTATTAATAATTTTATTTTTTAAAATAGTATAGCAATGGATTATACTAATACCAGTAAGTATTCTTTAAAAAAAAAAGTAGAATAAAATTCACGGAATATTGCAATAAGTTTTAATTTTTTTATCTTGACTCTAATTAATATTTTTTGTGTGTTCTCTAAATGTATTACGTGTGTATGCTGTGATGTGAGATCTCTAAAAATGATACTTAAAGCTCACTTTTTTCAATAATGTTGAATAATTTTTTATTAATAGTTTTACCTTTCAAAATAGAATTACAGTATATTATATTTATATTAACAAAAAAGATATTCGCAAAAATTTAGAGTAAAATTCTCGGAAAATTGCTATCAGTTTTAACTTTCTTATCTTGACTCTAATTAGTATTTTTTACGTGATCTCTAAGTGTATTATGTGTGTATTTTTATTAGTAGTATTACCTATTAAAGTGGAATTACAGTAGATTATATTTATACAAAAAAGCTAAATATTCGCAAAAATTTAGAATAAAATTTTCGGAATATTGCTATCAGTTTTAACTTTCTCATCTTGATTGTAATAAGTAAATTCTTTGAGTAGTATTCGGATTTACCTTACTTACATCATTTACCTATCCTAAAACTGACTTGTCATAGGTTGTGATAGTAATATTTATAGTCGACTGTATTTAGATCTCCAATCTAAGACTCATGAACCACTAGTAAATATGATTATCGTAAGATCAATATTTTTTTAATCTCTTCCACAATTTTGTGTGTTTTAATTAACTATACCATCCAAAAAGAATTTTTTTAAATTTCTGTCATTAAATTTTCTTTGATTTTTTTGTGTACTACATATTTAAACCAAGTAGATTGACTCATAATTTTCAAGATACTGCAAGATACAATATCTTAAATTAGATATTGTAAATTTTAAAATAGGATAAAAACTATTAAACTTGTATCATTTTTTTTCTCTTTAAACTTATGACAAATATTTTTGGGTTAAATAAATCTTTTATACTACTTAAATACCTCAAAAACTGTTATCTGCAGTTAATTAAATTAAAATAAAAAGGTAATTAAATGTCATTAATAAAACCATCTAACAAAACGTAAAAAAAATCGCTTCAACTTATTAAAAGAAAAAAATTAGAGAAATCACCCGTTATTTTCCTGCAAAAAGGTCCAGAATCAAAAATAGTAAAAAAATATTTCAAATTTTAAAAATGAAGCATAAACTTACCATTTTGTTAAAATGTGAGAAAAATTGGCACTATACGATTTTACGAAACAATGCAAAAAAGGAACATAAAAACTCAAATTTTATTGCAGTATTTATATTTCAAAAATATCAGAAGTAGTTCCTTATTTACAAAAACAAACATTATATCATTCGTTAAAGATAAAACAATGAATGATCTCGGAAAAAAGTAGACCTTGACTTGATAGGTGTGTTTGAAAAAATTCAACTCAGATAAAAGTACCTTTCGAAGTACTATTATCAAAGCTGAAGGAACTTGAAAGTGAAACAAAAAGAAAGTGAAACAAAAAGAAAGTGAAACAGAATGTATCTAGTTTCACTTAAAAGGTAGCAGATTAAAATAGACAAATAATAAATTGTTTCCTTTTTTTTCCAATGCCCTTTTGGGGAATGACCTATGATATACTGGCATCTAAAGGGCAGATTTATTTGCCACTTTTCCATGGGCGCCATATTAGGTGGGCCAATGTTGCTCCCACAGTAAGGACAGATATTACAGAGAATGAAAGAACTTCCATGCCTTGCCCGGGATGCGAACCCATAACCTTCCTCATGCAAGACCAGTTCCCTGGCGCCAAAACAGGCCGGTCGGCAAGTGTTTCTTATTGAAATTATAAAACAGCATGGTTTTAAAGTTTTTAAAGCATTTTTTAAAACTGCATGCATTGTTTCAAATTTTTTTAACTACTGTACCGTGCAAAACGTGCGAAAACGTACATTTCGAATTTCTTGCTGATGACTTATATAGATTTGAAAACATTTCGTGCTAAAGTTGAAAAAAAAATCATGGAGAACGCTTGTTAATTTGAAGTTTCAGCCTTTTTTTAAGTTAAATATGGGGAAAACGATGTAAATTCTTACGTTACGTTTGAGATAAAAACATAATTTACTTCACCATTTGAAAAATAGTTAATAGCATCGTTTTTTTTTTTTTTTTTTTTTATTTTTTTTTTNTTTTTTTTTTTTTTTTGAAAAGAGTAAAATAAAACTCCGAATTTTGAAATTATTTGTGGCACGGAATCTCATTAAAAACAAAACATATTATACTTTCATTATCTTCGAAAATTTAGAGAGAATCTAAGAAGAAAGAATATAGTATTTTGTAAGGTTAAACATTCTACTACTTTAGTTAGAATTTTATGTTTGTTTTATAATTTTGTAACATTGCTTTTTTTCTGTTACTAATTATTAATTATTAAGCTACCACCAATAATACATTGACAACAGCAATGTTTTCATTTCTTTTAATTTTTATATTTTCATTTCTTTTATTTTTATTTATTTTTTATTTTTTTACTTATTTTCATTTAATTCTTTACTTATTTATTCATTTGTTCTTATTTACTTTTTTTATTTTTTTTATTTAATTTTTTACTTATTTTCATTTAATTCTTTACNGCTCTTTTATTTTTATTATTTTTTTTTATTTATTTTACTTATTTTCATTTAATTCTTTACTTATTTATTCATTTATTCTTATTTACTTTTTTTCATTTTTTTTTATTTAATTTTTTACTTATTTATTTAGTTACTCTTATTTTATATTTTTATTTATTTTTAGTCAATTTATTGATTTGTTATTATTATTATTTGCTACACGCAACATTTAACTTCGTGAAACTTTACTTGGTTGGTTCGGTTACGATGCAATTGAGCAATGCTAATAAGCTGGTGAAGGACAGGAATTCATTCTTGATGATTGATGATTTGATTGAGTTTGATGATTTGGTGATTGTTTGATTTCAGATGTTTGCAGTAATACCCACACATTTAATCGTCTAACTGCGTGAGGAATTTTTCGACTCAGTAACCGCTGGGTATATTACTAGTTTAGTTGAACCACTTTGACAAGTGATGGGGGAGAATGCTATCCGATTTGATACATCATTTAGCACAGCCTCGGCCCAAGTCATTTCTCAACTCACAGAAACGTCTTATCAACTAATTGTAAATCTCGGTGTTTTTTTTCACCAAAAATCTCTCCGGAAATGCGTCGCATCTTTATATTTCCACTCACTTCATTTCAAGTCAGAAGAAAAGACTGTTTTCTTAAACTTTCTTTTCTCCTCTTTTTCCTAAATACCAATGAAGTTTGATTACTTTAGATCCTTGCACATTTGTAAGTGGCAATCTCCAGACTACGTTTTGAGCCTCAGCTTAAAAACTAAACTAGATAGTTTGAAAAGAGAAATTTATGATCTGTCTAATCGCCTATCTATCTCCAAAGCGGAAATAAAATAATTTAGTAGGAATACCTTTTGGCACTTTTACATTTGATTGTAAATATTTTCAGAGAACGTTTAAACCATAATTTTAAAAATTTGACTAAATTGTATTAAAATTGATATTTATCATCCTTCTAATAGTCTTTCGACCTCAGAGTATGTATGTATATATATACGAAATAAAAATTATTGCAAGAAATTTCATCTTGGCTTTTTTACATTTGTATGAGGATATTTTTAGAGAATATTTTGAATTATAGTTTAATAATTAAGCTACATTTAAACGACAGGTATAATTCTTTTTCACATAAATTTATCATTTCTTCAACTAGTCTAACAAAGCCATCCCGTTTTACGAGGTTGATATATAGCCATAAAAATATTTGTAACATTTTAACTTTTTGTTATGTTCACTTTTTCTTTTTCAGCATGTAATCAAACTCAGGGAACACAATGGTTATTTGCAAAAGAAGGCTGATTTGAGATTCTTAATACATGTTATGTATCAGAAATCACAAAGAGGTAAAAAAAAGGCTTGTTGTTTTCTCAGAACATATATTAGATTTATTTTGAAGCCTAAACTGAAATTCACTAAAAATGACTTTGAAAAGAAAGCATCCTAATTTAGCTCATATTAGAAAATGCATAAAAAATCATCCTGGCAATTTATATGATTAATATGAGAATTCTTAAAATTAAATAACATTTTCTCTAATTGCTAAACGTATGCTTGAAAAATCTACTTGGAAATAGCTTAAAATAATATGTTTAGACTTTATCAAACACACAAATATAACATTAAAACCATCCCATGAAAAAAAACTGAAAGAAATTTCGTTGTAATGAAAATTAGCTCCTGATAACTTTGAAATCATTAATTTAAACTTTTTTATGGTATACACTTCCCCAAAGCTGTATGACCTAGTGAAGATGAATTAAATCACTCGTTAATTCTGTAGAGAAACTACATAAGTGTATCAAAGTTGAGACAGGGGCTTCAAATAAAACATTTGAACATAATGCGAAAGATAGGTATATATCCGAACTACACTAAACTCTTATTCAGTTCCATTTCTCCGAAAAGTCATACTTTAGATGTATTGATATAAAAAAGGAACATAAAAAATACTGTTAGCCAAAGAATCCTACTAGTTTGAAAATCTTCGTACACACAGTATAACTCATATTTAACGCACACCCGTGAATAACGATTTCCGCTGTTAACGTATTTTCAATTACAATTTGAAACACGTTTAGAGATATTTTAAAACGGAGTGTCGGAAATTTTCTCCCCTCTGTTTGTTTGTTTTTACTTTAAATAAAAAGAAAACATCAATGAAAAATTAAAATGGCGAGTATTTTCCCCCCTTGATGCATGACATTTTTTGTACAGATCATAGATATTTTCGCATTGATGATTTCAAATTTGCAAAAGGTTTCTCGCTATAAGCTACAGCTACAGTGTTTATGCCATTTAATAGTATACTGCTAACCAGAATTTTCTTAAATTCATTCAAACAAATATTATGTCCCCACTTCTCTGCTACGTAGGAAATTGCGGGTAGAAGGCGAGAGCAAATTTCAGTTAATGATGCCATACGTTAATGTTATGTATTTGTTGTCTTAAGTTACATTTTTAATGGAGTAGACAAGTGCGCGTATGTATACAAACCAAAAAGTTCAACTTGTAAAATCAGACAAAAAATAAACTAAATAAAAACAACACTTAGAAAAATATCAATAGATTTTTGAACAGAACTAATTTCATATTCGAAATCCTCACAACCGCATTAGGTAAAATCAAGTACTTGTGCAAATGCAACTAAAAAGTTGTCCCCCAGAGTGTTGTCAGAGTGTCGTCTGGCTACCGCGATGGAGGTATTATACTATCGTCCATACATTCAAACATAATTTGTAAAACATTTCATATGTGATTTAAAACTGTGGATACCACATTTAAAATCAGTTCGACAATTTAGACAAAAATTAGTCGTCAAGCTAGATTTACTTTTTCTTAACACAAATTTATAACGCCAGTGCAAATATTTTGCACACCAGTTTGTACGCGTTATCTGCAGAAGTTATAATAGTGTGGAACTCTCACTGCCGTGCTGGAGGAATTATACTATCGTCTCAAACCCAGTTTGTAAAAAATTCCTTATATGATTTAAAAAACCGGATACTACACTTAAAATCAGCTCACCAAACTAGAAAAAAATTAGTTTTCACATTAGATTTACTTTTTCATAACTTAAATTTTGCATGCCAAAGTAAATATTTTGCTCTCCAGTTTAAGCGCCTTATCTGTAGAAGCTAAAATAATCTACAGATCCCTCTACCATGTTGATGGGTTTACATCCAATATTCAAGCCCATTGGTTGAAAAATCTTTAAGTGATTGAAAAAAATGAATACTACATTTACAATCAGCTCACCAAACAAGAAAAAAAAAATCGTTACCATGTATTTACTTTTTTTCCTGATTCAAATTTTGCATGCCAGTGTAATTAATAAACTGACAAAATAATGATACAATTACCAATTGGGAACCGCTAGTTTAAGTACAAAATTCTTTTCCGCGGAAACTATGTTGATTGATTAGAAAAATGTTTTGCACTTTGAGGAATAATAACATATTTCCTACTGTTTTTTTTCTTCATAATTCCGATTGCTTAAATTAAATAAATAATACAATCTTCCTTTCTAGACAAGGAAGAGTGCTCCATTTTGAGGACTTGGGTGCGTGCACGGTTTGCGAGCATTGTAAACAAAAATAGTCACGGTCAAGTACTTGTTGATTTTATCTATAGTGTTAACCAAATGTTTTAAGAACATAATTATTTTGATTTTGTAAACAAGTTAAAAATTGACAAAACCTTTTTTCATCTAACTTGTTTTTTTTATTCAGTTATTCTTAACTCGAGAACTAGTTTCGGATAGATATAAAAGACGCGCTTAAAAATAAATTTTCTCAATAGACAATTGTGATCTTCTCAACAAGGAGGTATCTCAATAGTCAGGTTTGTTAAAATTTTATGAATTTCTATCAAATTTTACTTAGTTTTCGGAAACAATATTAAAAATACCTGTGTGTTGTTATTTTTTATAAAAACTATTATTTTTAATATATGTATTACATAACAATAAAATATAGATTTGTGATACGTGATAAAATCTGGTAATTTTATAACGATACCTTAAAGCATGACATAAAAACCATTTATTCGGTTAAATCTACTTTTAGTTTTGTATTTTTTACTAAGTATGTGGTAATAAGAACTATTAATTTGAAAATCAGAATTTACGCTAAACCATTATAATGTGAACAGAAAAATTACCAAATAAATGCCGTATATTTTAGTTTTATTTTTCAGAATTATTGTTTTTTTTGCCAGAAATGTCATTACCAAATAGTACGTAATTTTACCAGAATTTTTTTCCATGTCTCAATTTGCTACACCATACTATTACAATACCAATCATTATAATGGTTCAAGTCAATATATATTTTATTAAATATTTTAGCAAATACTCCCTGCCTCGAAAAATCATCAATCATCTCATCAACTTATAAGAGATTTCCTGATTCTACGTGAGCTTTTTCATTTTGTTAGTGTATTTTACACAGATTTTTCATGTTTTATGATATGCAATCAAAATCCTCATATGCCGTTAAAAAGTAGCAATGTTGTGACATGTATTGAAAAAAAAATTAAACACACGGAACATCGAAATTTCTACTCAATTTACTTCACTGGATATTGTAATTTTTTACATATTAGTATACATTTATTATACATATTAGTATGCATACATGAGTATAAATTCAATAAGAACCAATAATAAAATTTTAAAAAGAATGAAGTTTAAGTAATTTTGATATGGTATCTGTTTTATTCATCGTCTTCTTTTTTTTTGAATAAAATATAATTTATAATTGCACTTCGTAATACAACAATATTTCACGGATGGAGCAAAGTTAAAATATTTGTTTTTACCATATTTCCGATAGAAAATGTGACAGGAGAGATTATCAATAGCATATAACTGTAATATATAGCAATAGAAAACATTCCTTATTTTAATAATAAAAAAGTTGACAATTTTATTTATAAGAACATACTGATCTGTTTTGTTTAGAGGTATAGAAGGGTTGTAAATAAAATGAAATGCACACCATTTTTTTCCTATTTTCAATTTTTTTTAAATGTCATTTATTATTACAACATTTAGGATTCATAATTTCTTCTATGGACTTTGTTCGAATAATTATATAAGTTTATATTTATATTTTATAATTAAATATTTATATAAACTGAAATAGCCTGGTTGACAGGGCGTTGGACTCACATTTGTGAGAACGGGAGGTCGAATCCAGCCGGCCAAAGATTCCCCGTGTAGTAAAGGATACCTGGTACACGTTAAATCTGTTGGTTCACATGTAATATTATCCTCCATGTATTATTACAATAGAAAACATTCTTTATAATGTTTATTACATTAATTGTAATAATTAATGATTTTTTTTGTTCTCTTTAGATAATTTCTCAACCTAAAGTCATGCTACTGAGAAAAGCAATCATCTTGATTTTAGGGATGCTCATGTTCTTGTTGTCCTGCAATGTTACACACGCTATGAGCCATCATGGAGGAGGAAATAGTATATCTGAACTTCTTGTAGCAGGGCTCGTAGCAAAACTTTTATCAGAACATCATCACAAGCACAAATGTCATTAATGGACATCTATTAAGTAAGACTACATCTTGAATTCTCTGTAATCTTTATATACGAGGTAAAATTTGGGATGGATAAATATTTTATTGGAAAAAAATATCGCGAAAACAATGCCTCTCGTGTATATATTACAGTGCGCAGACTGTAAAAAAAATCCAATAAAATTTATGGTTTTAAAGCCGAAGATTCACTGGTCATATAATTTACGAATGAAATCTGTAGCCTCAACGTTTTTTTACCACATGACAACAAGTTTTTTTAGTAAAAAATTACGCAGAAAATCCGTAGACATACTGGTTTTTTACCGTAAAAAAACAAGTTTTTACAATAAAAATAAATCTGATGTCTAAATAGACTTTTAACAAATGGAAACAAGTTTTATCTGTGAAAGTTACGAAGTAAATCTGTACTCACAAGATATGTGAATATTCAACGTCTGTAGAATTCATACGGACAGCCATCACTCTAATACGAACCTGGGTCACTTCATCGGGAAAAGCACGCTCTATCCCCTGAGCCACTGCAGCTTTGGTGAGAATTTTGGCTTAAATATTACATCGATTTGACAATAAGGTCAAATCGTAGTTTTATTTATACGATGTTACAAACCATGAAGTAAATGTTAAGAAGTAAGAACAAGTATGAAAAAAAATTCATAAAATGGTTGGAGAAAAGGTAAAGTTATATTACGGAACGCAAAACTGCATAGAAAAAACTAGAATTTCAACTGACGATTTTAATCAGTTAGTGATTTGTATTAAGAACAGAGAAAAACCATTTTATCAACAAAACAGCGCTAAACCGTTAAATATATGGAGAAATTCCAAAAAAACAAAGGTTATTTTTTATAGTGCGCTTTAGTTTTATACCTGGATGCATTATACAATCAGCACTAAACTTTTCGTGTGTAATAAATAATAAAATAAATAATGAAGTTAGTACAGTGAGCTAAAAAAAAAAAAAAAAAAAAAAAAAAAAANAAAAAAAAAAAAAAGACATCACTCTGAGTAACCAGATTTTCACTCTCTAAATGACAAACTTAATGATTCATCACGTAATGGCTAAATGATTGAAAATTAATGACTGGATGGAATAATAGGTGGTCGCAAATATGAAAGAACGTATCAGAGAAAATACTTTTTTGTTACTAACTTTGATTTAATTAATAGTTAGCACTAATTAATTTGCATAGTAAAAGTTAATCAATTTTCTTTTTGAACTTTTAAGATTGATCCTTTGTACAGGAAAATACAATCATCAAAACAAAAATTAGTGCTATTTTACAAAGTTTCCAATATCAAGCGCCATATCAAATAATCAAATAAAAAAATTATGAGATAACGCGTTAATAAAAAGTAATGAAATTTTTTAAAACATACTTGCTCACATGATTTTTTTATCCTATTATTTATTTATTTTTTATGAAACTAAAAATGTAATGTGTAACAACTAAAAATTGAATTGTTTTAGTTTAAGCATCATAGACCAGGTTTCCTTCGACTTAATTTTCGAAAAAAGTTTTTAAATTTTTTTATTTTAAGTTTAAAAATTGCATGGACATTTTTAACTTACGAAGAATTTCAATTACTCTTTTATACTACAAACTAATTCGTTTAGTTTATCTTATGGTTTAACTCAGACGAGCACATCAGCTGAAAAATATAATGCAAAAGAATTGAAAACTTCATTAAATGTAAAAATGTTAAGTTTCCTTTTTTTAGAATTTTGGTTAAAATAGAATAGCATTTTGGTTTTAAATTGTTACATTTTGAAAACAGATTTGTTAAAATTTTTGAAGTTTAACATAAAAGTCTCTTGCATAAACTCTTCATAAAAATCCTGCAAATTGAATCTTGTACATTTTTTTACATTCTTTTCTTCTATATAATTGGCATAGAACACCTCTGAATATGTCACACTGTGAAGAAAACAATTCCCTTTAAAAATTACACATACTAAAATAATTTCAATTTAATTAAAAATTTAAAAACAATTTTATGTAAATTTTTAATAATGAAAAAATAATAAAAAATTTATATTAGGAAAAATGCTCTACTAATGAAATAAATTTAGAATATGTATTTAAAAATAATAAATTTGTTCCATAAGAGTTATGTAAATTTAGACTTTTATTACCTAATATAAAATTTTAAAAAATATTATAAGCTTTCAAAAACGTTTATTAATATTAATTGTTTTATTAAAAAAAATGACATTAAAAATCATAAACGATTAAAAAAATCTGTTATTTATGAAATAGATTTTTACTTAAATGACAATTGCGTTGTCAAAAAAAATCGATCAAAACTAAAAGAATATGGTAAAATTTACCTTGTTTCTGGCTCTATGAGGACATCAAAAATCTCGGTAATTTTTACTTTGGTAATGACTTGGTAATATGAAGAAAGAATTATGGTTTTATAATATGTAATAAAATTTGATGAATGTAACAAAAAAAGATAATTTTATCATGATACCTTGAATCATGGCATAAAAACTATTTCTATGTTGTTGTTTTTTTTGTTTTTTTTAAAGATTTGTATTTTTTGCTAAATGTCTGGTAATAAGAACTATAATTTTGAAAACCAGAATATCCAGTAAACCGTTACCATATGAACGATAATACTACAAAAAGAACTGTTTAAATTCCTGGTTTTATGGTGACTTTAAGGTAAATATTATTGTGAAAATAGCGGTATATCAGATTTTTTGTTCCATGACATGTTTCTGTCAAACTTAATTTTACCGGAAGGAAAGTACCGACACCCTGAGTCCCAAATTAATTTAAATCAGAATTTTTTTACAGTGTACATTATAAGTAAAATATTTTTATTAATGTTTAACTATTTGTGAGCATAATTTGTTGTTCAATTTCAGGTTCAAACGACAGTCTCTGAAGGTAGAAAATTAAATGAACATTTATAGTGTTGACCCTAAACATACACATTTAATTGTTCGAAAATCCTCATTCGTGCTTCACTTCTTCGTGCTTCATTTACTACATTGTATTTTTTTTCTCTTTCAGCTAAATAATAATGTATATATTTTTAAAATGTTTCAAGTTGTAACTTTAAATAAACTTATCTTTTAAAAGTGCTCTTTTGCTTGCATGTATCATATATTTTTTAATTATATCGGAAGGAGACCAATTTTTCAATCATTGCATTTACAAAATTTTGAATAGTACTTCATTTGCTTCATTAGAATTGAAGTCTTTTCAAAATTAATGAACATTTTCAGAATTCTCGTCAAAATGAAGATAAAGTCAAAGAAGCCTTCTTTATTTATGATTAATTTAGCATTTAAGTGATTATGTATAAGCATATTTTCGTTCCTCACCTTTGCCTTTGAATTAGATTATATTTACATCAATTCTGAGTAAGTTTGAAGTTTTCATACGAAAACCTTATTTTTTATTATCATTTATGTATATTTACAATTTCCAACCCAGTCTTTGAGTTAGGCTATTTATGCAAAATACTTGTTAGTTAAAGGTTTTTCGCAAAAATCTTAATTGTCATTAACAAATACGCATTTTTACAATTTTCGACCCTATCTTTTAAACTACTCATGTAGAATTCGGGTTGATTTAACATTTCCATGCAGATAGCAAAAGATTCAAACTTTACATTAAATTATAATTTTTTTATCGTTACTTTTCCTTATAAACAGTGCTTTTAAACGCAAAATCTAATTTTTTTTATAATTGTGCTTAAAAAAGTTTAAGTTTATGTTTTGACACAAATTAATTCCATTTCAGAATATCTAAATATTTGTTTAATTTCCATAAAAAACACACTTACCAAATATATATGACCACGGGCGCATCTTTTTTTTTTCAAATAAAATTCTAATTTTCAAAAAAAAAAATTTTTCACGATTTTTTTCTTGATACACCCATTAATTTCAATTGCGCAAAATAAATATTTTAAAAGATTTCTTTCTGTCATAAATAGTGCGTAACGATAAATTTCTGCGCAGCGTGTAACTACTTCAACCGTTAAACATAACGATAACTTTCAATCTGCACGCAACTGCAATTACATTCTCCAAAAACATCATCAAATCGATCCTAAGTGGCGATCTTCAACATTCCACACTCAAAGTTCCACACATAAACTATTTTTCTTATTCTTAAACAAATCTTACAAATTTAAAATTAAGAAATTTAGAACTAAAAATAGAGAATTTAGAATTCGTTTGTTGTAGCTATAGTAGAATTTTATCATTAGATTTAAATACAAGCACAACAGTCATAAGGAGCATATTATACTGTGTTTTTTAGTCATATTCAGGAAAACAAGAACCCGCAATCTCAAAATCTGCATTTAAAATTAAAAGTAGAGAATTTAGAATGCGATTGCTGTAATTATACTTTGGAATATTAGAACAGATTTTAAACAGGAACACAATTGGTAAAAACATCATGATTATACACTATGTTTTATTCGGTTTCAGAAAAACAAGAAAGTTATCCTCACACTCAGAAATAATCAGTTGAGCATTGAACCATAATCTCGGTAACGAAATGATTTAATGATTGATAACATCAATCAAAGTTATTGCAACCATTATAAAATTTTAAATTCTACCACATTTTTGTACAAAATTACCAATATAAGGGTCATTCTCACTGAAAAGGTATAAATAGACTAAAAAAAATTTTTAAATTAAAGTAATTAAAAAAGTGATAAAAATGACATAAATGCCTTTATTTATTTTTGTTATATATCCTTATAATAATGGTCAAGTCTTCTATTTTATTTTTTACAAGATTTAAAAAAATTTAAATTCTGCCTTGTCCACGGAGGAGATGTAATATTCAGCGGAGGAGATGTAATAGTCAACGGAGGAGACATTTTATGTTATAAAATATAAAATGTCAATGAAGACTAATTCATTAATTATTGGGTACATCTGATATGAGTTTAACATTAATAAGTAAATAATGAAATATTTCATTATTAGATTACTACTTCCGATTAATCATGCTGCTATGAAAGAAAGCATCCATTCTTAACCTAGGTGTACAATTTTTTAAGTAACTCTTACTGAATATTAATAAATTAAAATGTAAAGACTATTGAAATAAAAATTCAGACTCCACGTGAAGGTTGAGTGCTTAGGGTACTCTTTCATGAACATTTTATGCAAGTTAAACGTACTGTCATCCAAATAACGTTTTTGTTTTTTCTCTTTTCTTCTTGCTATTGTTCCTTTTTTCCCTGGGCACAAACGGCTTGCTCCATCAATTTCTAGAAATTTAAGTACATTTAATCACGATTTTTCTGTTGCATCTTTTTCTGATACAGATTTTAAAGTTTCTTGTTCCTTTTTTTTTCTTCTCTTTCTTCAAACAATATAGGGTTTTCTCTTCATTTCTGTCTAGCTTGTCTCATGCTAAGTTTTTTCTGTCCCCCTCTCATTTGCACATGAACATTTGATTGCTTTCTTTTTTTACATTTTGGTTTTGCCATTTTTTTCCTGAAATTTTAAGAGAAAAAAAGTGTTAAACATCACAGAAATTATTTAGAAAAATTGTCAATACTTACTTCTCCAATAAGAAAAAGTTTAACTTAGTTGATTTTCTTTAAAAATACAAACAAATTAACATATTTGTTGCATTTTAAAAAATATCAATTAAAAGAAAGCAGTTTTTTAATTATTAAAATTGTATTATGGTTATTTAACACATTGTCTCCTCCTCCGTTGACTTGTTACGTCCACGGAGGAGACAGAAACTAGTTCTTGAATTTTACTGATTTTTAATTTTAATGTTACAAAAATAGGACAGTTCTTTTTATTAAATATACTATTTTTGCAATCTAAAATTCATCTATCAAAAATAAAATAATTTTCTCTTACCTTTTTTATGATGTCCACGGAGTATACGGTGAGAACTTTGCCAAACCCCAGTTGAACCAACACCAGTGAGATAGGGGTGTTGGTTCACCCCTATCTCGGTGTTGTTGGTTGAACACAACAATCCAAAACTGACACCAAAGAGAACAAAAGCAACTGATAGTTAACATTAGAAAATGGAATGATTACCTTTCCCAGCAGTGTCTTATAGGGATTTCGCATATGCTGCCCTTTATTGCATATTTACCGAACTATATTAATTGTCCACGGAGGGCGATTTAATTTTTGATGGACAAAGTTTACTAGTCATTTATTTTATAAAAATAATTTTTTTTTAAATGTTAAATAAAAAGTTACTATAAACATTTAACTAGGTAAAACTACAAAAATCATTAAAATAACATTTAAATTGTTTAACAGCCATTAAAAATTATTTTGTGTAACACACGTAGGGACGTCCAAGGAGGGGATTTTGAAGCCATGTTTATTAAAAAATAAGAATAAAATATTAAATACATTTAGCAGAAATGCATATGATTTGTTAGTTAGAACTTTACAAAAAATGATGAAGAAAAATATTAAGAAATCTGCTGTATTTCCTAATATTTATTACTAAGGGACTTAAAAAATCACCTTTTTGTGAGAATGACCCATATTGCAACTGTGAGTTTATTATCTTAAATAATTTTTAATCTTTTTATTGTTTAACCTTTAATTATTCAGCTGTTTATCTTTTAGATAATAATTATTAGTAGTAAGTGTTTGCACTAAGCTCACTATATTGTATAATCAGGAGTGATCAATTTTGTTTAATTCATATCTAAATTTAAAATAAACATAGAACTAATGCTCAGAAATAATGGCGATAATTGAGTGATTTCA